TTTGTTGTTGTTTTTTGTTTGACAATTATTTGACATTTTAAAACAGTCAATATGTTTATTATTATTAATATATTAAAATAAAAATACTAATAATAATATTTTTTGAAAAACAAATTGTTTTAATATAAATAACAAATTATTTATAAATTAAATATTGATATTTCAATTTTTTATATAAAAAAATTTTAATAACAAATATTATTGAAAAATTGCATTTTTCTAAATATTATTTGTTTTTACATTATTATATATAAATTATTATTTTAATAAAAAAAATACAATTTTAATGCGCAAATCCACCTACATTATTAAATTTAAAAAAGTAATAATATATATATATTTATTTAATATTAAAAAAACATTAGTAATATTATTTAAATAAAAAATGCTTTAATATATATAAAAAAATATTATATAATTTTTTGGATTTTTATATATTTCTATGTAAATAGTTTTTTTTATGTGTGTATTTACAATAATAATTTTAATTTTAATAAAATGATATTTATTAATTTTTTATTTTATATAAAAATTTTTGATAAATATTTGTGTATAATATATATTTATTATAACATTATTATTATTATTGTTATTACATTTTTAAAAATGTTAAATGTCATTGATCAATTTATATTTAGATTATTTATATTAACAATTGTTTTCAAATTTTTACATAAATTAATATTTTATGCAAATTTTAATAATAATAATTATAATAATAACTATGTTATTATTAATTTATTTTTTCTTTAGACAAACACTTTAAACTAAAATAGATTTCAATTAATATAATAATAATTTTTGCAACACTTATAGATAAATAGATTTTATTTTATTTTTTTATGCAATTTATTACATAAAATTAAATTTACATATGTTTTATAACAAATTATTAATAAATAGATTTTATTTGCAATAAATTTAATCGAAAATACTAAAAATAAAATGTGCATAAATTTTTTTTTATTCATAAAAATTTATTTGATAGTAATTTTTTTCTAAATATAAAAAACTATATATTATTTATATATTGAAAAATCATATTATTATTAAAATTACAATAATAATTATGTCAAAATTATTATTATAAAAATTTTTTAATATAGATTTTTACATGTTGTATGAAATACAGATTAAATTTATATATATATATATATATATAAAAAGATAAAAAATTAAACTTTATTAAACTTTAATATATAAATATATAGCAATATATAATTTATTACAATAAATATATTTATATTTAGTTATCAAATTATTTATGTATACATATAAAACATAATCTGTTAATTGAAAACATATTCACAGATTTACATATTATTATTAATAATATATAAGTTATTGCATAATAAGCACAAAAAATATTATTATTTTTATTATGTGTAGTATTATTATTACTTAATATAAAGCGGAAAAATAAATAACAAAAATTATGTATAAATAAGTAACTAAAAGTAATATTATTTTAATATTTTAATAATATGATATTAAATATATGTAATAAAAAAATTGATTTGTTATATTACTAATGTTGTATATACAGTATATTTGATTTATAACGTAATACTATATTAATATTTTATAGATTTAATTACTATTAATATTAATATTATTAATATATATATACTGAGAAAATTTAATTTAAATATTTTATGTGTAGACTTAGCTATCAATTGACAATTCAATGTCAAAATACAACTGATTTTTTTTTCTCTCTCTCTCTCTCTCTCTCTCTCGTGTTATTACTTTACCGGAAGGCCAGTCATGTCTATGGTGTTGACAGTTTAAGGACAGTTAGCTAAATAAATTATATAACAGTTTTCCAGTAAATTTTGTATAATCATAGTCTGTATGTATGTGTGTATTTGAAAAGTTAAATATAAAAGTATTTACTATTTATATTAATATTTGCAATAAATAATAATAATAATAATAATAACTAATTCAATACTTAATATATATATAGTATTACAGAATATTCTGAGAAATTGACAAAAAAAAAATAATTTTGTTTTTATTTTATTTATTTGATTTTATTTTTCTAATACTTTTTTAATTATAATAATATTAGTTTCACATATTCTGTATAAATACTGTAAATATTTGTCAATTTATTGATATTTCCGGCAAATTTAATCAAATAATAAAAAATAAATATAAATATATTAAAGTAAAAAAATGTTTGTGTGATAGTCAGTCAATCAGTCAGTTATTATGTTTGTGTGTATTATTGTATTGATATTTATTTTCCAATAAAAAAGTAGTAAATATATTATTATTATTATTATTATCACATATTTTTTTCAGAAAAATATTTGAAAAATATATTTCAAATAAAATCTTGGAAATAAAATTGTGAAATATTTTTGTTGTTATGTGTTTGTGTGTCTATAAATAAAATAATTATTTTAAAAAAATATTTTATATAAAAATAAATAAAATATTTATTTACTGTATATACACAGTATATTATATATTTATATATATATATATTATATTGTACTGACAATTATACTGGTCATTCAAATTTATATTTAAAATAATATATTGAGATAAATATACAATAGATATTAAAAAGTAAAATAGTTTTTTAATATAAATATTGTAAATAGTTTAAACAGTAAAAAATCATTTGATATTTATTTATTTATTTTTTGTGATTTTGCTAAATATTTTCAATTAAATGGACAATTTATATCAATAAATATATATATATATATATTGTTAGACAATTCCTTGAACTTAATACTAAAATAAATATTTTTTTAAAAATTAATTCAATGTCTAGACACAAATATCAATAAAATAAAATTGTATTGTAAATAAAATCAAAAAATAATCTAATTAATATATATTAAATATATATATATAGTTAAAGATTTGTGTGCAATATTTGTATTTTATTAATTATATATTAATATTAATATGTAATTATATATATATATATATATATATGTTTTCTTTATCTATAGTACTAGTAGTTAATATTTATAACTTTTTTCTACCAAGTTTAATTAGGATAAAAATATACTAATAATAATGTTGTTACAAATAAAATAAAAAAGTTTTGATAATAAATTAAACATTAAATTTAGATTTTTTAACAACAAAAAAACAATTATTAAACTTTTTGTTGTTGTTGTTAATAAATCAATACAAGTGTATTTATAATAATTCAATTGAAAAATAAATATAACAATAATAATAATATCTATAATTTTGACAAAAACAAAAAAAAATTCAATTATTAATATATATTATTAACTGACACGTTTTTATTGTTTTTAATTATTAAAATTATTATTAATATTGACAGTTAATGTCTAATGTAATAATAAAAATATATATTTAAAAACTTATTTACATATAGTCTACTCTATATATATATTAGTACTAATTATTATTAAAAAATTTTAAAATCTAAATGTTTTCCACTTTAATGTGGATTTAAAAAAAATAATAATAATTTTTCTCAATTAATTTTATTATAAATTATAATTTTCCATAAAATTTGCATTTTTCATATTAATATCACTTTATATATTAATCTATTATATTTTATACACTTAATTCATTTTTGAATTTCAATTATTTTTATCATTATTATTATTATTATAAAATTATGTTAAACAGTAATACATAATTGCTATTACAGTGTATATTATATACATACATACACTTCAAAAATATATAGTTTTCATAAAATTGTTGTAACAAATTAATTATTAAATTATACATTAAGTATTAGACTATTAGACACACATTTATGCATAAAATAAGTGAATTTAAATTTATTAATTTATAATATTGAATTAAACTTAATATTATCATATGACTACTGTTATTGAGAATTTTTATTTTCTAAATAATATATAATTAATTAAATTACAACAGTTTAGACAACAAAATACATAATTATAATAAAAATAAAATAATAAGTTTTACACAAAAAAAACTTTATTTAATTATATGAATATTAATTTATTTATAGTTTAAATATACAGTAAATACAGTATACATGTATTAAATGATAGTATTTTACTTAACCATAAAAATATGAGATTATTTAGTGATTAGTAAAATTTTAATTAAAAATTTCTAAAATTGTTATTTGAATTATAAAAATATCAATTATATTATTATTATTATTATTATTATTATTATTATTATTATTATTATTATTATTATTATTATTATTATTATTATTATTATTATTATAATACTCTAAAAGCACTTAATTTTATAAAAGTTATTTAGTTTGGTTTAAAAATATCAATAAAATTAAAATAGTATTTAACGATTAAATTGTTTATTTGTTTAGTTTGGACAATAAATAATAATACTATTGAAATAGTACTGTAGTTATTGCTATGCAATATAAAAGCAATTAAAATTAATTATAAATTCAAATATATATATTAATCTTTAAACGTAAAAATCATAGTAAACATAAATTTAAAAATAACAATTTTAATTTAATTAAAAATAATTTGAATAATAGATAGTTTTAGCAAAAATTTCTATTTATTTTTTATTTAAATTATATGTTATTGTTTTAATTGCTATTTAAATATTTAATCTATGATTATAAATAATTTAATTATTATTATTATTGTATAAAATTAACTATTTTATCAAAACAACAGTTAATTTTAATCAACAAATATTTTTATTAAAACAAAATAAAAAAATTACTTTAATTTAATAATAATTATAATATATTAATTATAATAATAATAATTTAATTAAATGATATTTAATTAAAATAAATTTGTATACTATTTTATTTTATTAAAAAACATATTAAATAATTTTATAATATATATTTTTATTTTATTTAACAATAATTGTTATAAATTATAAATGTATACATTTTTTTATTTTATAAAAAAACATAAATTTATTATTTATATAGTCTTAATTATAATGAATAAAATAATTTATTTAATAAAATGATTTTAAATACTATTTTATTTATTTTTATAATTAATTTCAAGGCATGGCATAAACGCTACTTTGTTTTGAGAGACAGTTTTCTGGATAATACATCCATATTGGAGATGCATAATACACAACATGATCTGAAAGCTAACTGTTCACCATTGATGACACTTGAACTGAATGAAACGGTACACATTGGTATAGCATCGGAATCCCATCGATTTTCCAATGTATTGGTATTGGTCTGTAACGGTAGGGCACCGCTACTGTTGGCCGCCGATGACGAACTATCAGCCCGGTATGTAATGATTAGAAATAGAGAGAGAAAAAATAAACTAACTGTCCTTTCTCTATGTCTATCTATCTATCTATCTATCTATCTATCTATCTATCTATCTATCTATCTATCTATCTATCTATCTATCTATCTATCTATCTATCTATCTATCTATCTATCTRTCWATCTATCTRTCAATCTATCTATCTATCTATCTATCTATCTATCTATCTATCTATCTATCTATCTATCTATCTATCTATCTATCTATCTATCTATCTATCTATCTATCTATCTATCTATCTATCTATCTATCTATCTATCTATCTATCTATCTATCTATCTATCTATCTATCTATCTATCTATCTATCTATCTATCTATCTATCTATCTATCTATCTATCTATCTATCTATCTATCTATCAACTAACTAACTAACTAACTAACTAACTAACTATCTATCTATCTATACTAAATGGTATGACTACCTATCTATCAAATAATATCTATTATTTTAATTTTTTAAATATACTGTATATATAACTTATTAGATTAACAAAAAAATCAGTTTATATACAATAATTATATATATAATAATAGTAATAATAATATACAGAATATACTATAAGTGGGCATTTATGATAAAATTTTAGTTTTAATTTTATATCAAAAAATAATAATCTTAAATTTTTAATAAAGTAATAATTGCAAACAATTTCAACATTAAGTAAACACACAAATAAGCGTTTTAAATGCACCGGTAGTTTAAACAACATAACCAGTGATGTGTGTGTGTGTGTGTTATAAAAGAGAGAGAGAGAGAGAGAGAGAGAGAATTTTATTAAAATAACATACACAGATTCACACACACACACACACACACACACACACACACACACATATATATATATATATAGTCATAGACACACACAGTCATAAACACACACACACACTGTATAAATATTTACACACAATTAGTTTTGACAGTTATTTTCAGTTATAGTTTGCTTTTTCAATAATAATAATAATAATAAACTTTTATATAAATACTATATATATATATATTATATTTATAACAAATTTTATTTATTTTTAATAATACGATATATTCGGGTCAATACATAGATCATGGCTACTGGCCCTTGACTTGACTGCCCAGAGTCGCAACAATGATGACGGTCTAATGGCCGGACTGCCGCCAATCGGCAGTAGTAATAGTAATCGGTATAACTGGTCAAACAATAATAGCAACAACAACACAAACAATTGCTGTCAAAATAGTGTCTGTAGTACACACTCGGCTATACAGACCAATGGTACCGGTGGTGGTGGTGGTCACCATCACAATGGCCATAGCCATCATAATAGTGGTCATCATCATCATAATCACCATCAAACCAACTCCGAATCGGAGGACAGCAGTAACAATGGTTCGGCATGTAGTTGTGCGCCGGCTTTTGTACGCGAAAGTTCCGGTTTTTCCGATCCGACACACGGTATGTGCCGACCGCAGTCGTCCAGTGCCGCCGCCGCCGTCGCCACAAACGGCTCAGTTTTGTCGGCTGCGGCCGTCGCCGCCGCGGCTGCCGACCGACTATTACTGCCCGACGAACTTTTGTGGACAGCCAGCGGTTGGCAGGAAACCGGTTCACTCGATCGTAAGTCATATAATTGATTACTAATATTAATATATATATATATCTATTAATAATAATTTTTATTAGTAATAATTTATATTATAAATTATTTAAATATAAATTATTTTTATTAAAAATTATTTTTATTAGAAATTATTTAAATATAAATTATTTTTATTAAAAATTATTTTTATTAGAAATTATTTAAATATAAATTATTTTTATTAATAATTATTTTTATAAGTAGTTATTTTTATTAGTAATTATATTATTAGTAATTTTAATAGTTATTATTTTTATTAGTAATTATTTTATTAGACTTTTAGTGATTTTAATTATTATAGTATTAATAATAGTTTGTAGTTTAAGTTTTTTTTAAAATAATAATTTTTGTTGACATAAAATATACAAGGTCGTATCTATATCTTGAAATAATCTATAGATAGTATAGTAGTTTTTAAATCACTAATGATTAGAGGATTAATACAATAACAACAAAATCGATAATCTATTTTATTTATTTATTTATTTTTACTAATTAAGATTCAATATAAATACAATGTATTAATTTACTATAATATACTGTATGTTATTATTATGTTTACTGATTTTATATGTATTAATACGATATTTGTGTGCAAATAATCTTTCTTTTTTTTGTGAATGCTATCACTTGTCTTATTAAGAATCTCTCTCTCTCTCTCTCTCTCTCTCTCTCTCTCTCTCTCTCTCTCTCTCTCTCTCTCTCTCTCTCTCTCTCTCTCTCTCTCTCTCTCTCTCTCTCTCTCTCTCTCTCTCTCTCTCTCTCTCTCTCTCTGTCTGTCTGTCTCTTTCACACACACACACACTCATACATACACATACACATACACATACACATACACATACACATACACATACACATACACATACACATACACATACACATACACATACACATACACATACACATACACATATATATACATACACATACACATATATATATATATACATACACATACATACACACACATACACATACATACACATATATATATATACACATACATACACATATATATATATATATACACATACATACACATATATATATATATACATACAAATACAAACTATTTTATCATATATTATGCTTATATATATATATATATATATGCCTTTACTTTATATATATATAAACCTTAAATCCCAAATATATATATATATATTGTGTTTACACAAGTATATATATATGTTTTTTTTATTGTTTTTTATACTGTATATAATACCATATATACTAGGTATATATATATATATTATATATATATATATATATATATATATATATATTATAAGTATTTCCCTTTATATCCGTATTTCAATTGTAAGCTACAATAGACATGTTTAAGATATTTTTTTTGTTTGTATGTCAATCTCTACTAATAAGAGAGAGAGAGAGAGASAGAGAGAGAGAGAGAGAGAGAGAGAGAGAGAGAGAGAGAGAGAGACAGACAGACAGASAGAGAGAGAGAGAGAGAGARAGAGAGATCTATTGTTCAATATTTACCGTATTTTTTGTTTTCAATTGGTTGTAATTCCCAATTTAATTCCTGTTTTGATATTTTTAGTATTATTTTTACTAAAGAATATTCTGTAAATAACTACATATATATATATAAGTATATAAGTCAACTGTCTATACCGAAAATCCCAATATATATATATATATATTAAGGTTATAGGATTTGGAAAAAAATAAATATTTTCAATAACTTTATTTCTATACTTATAACTTAATATATTTTCTTGTTAGTCAAATATAAGTATATTTTTTTATAAAAAAAATTAGTTTATTATTTAGTATTTTTCAGTCAATTAGAAACTGTTTTTTTTAATTTACAAAAAATATTAAATATTTTTTTTTTGATGATTGTGTCTAAACAAAAACTAACTAAATATTAGACAATAAATATATGTTTTATTTTTACATTTTAACGTATTTTATCTGTTGTTAATATTTTTAGATAATATTGTTTTTTTTTTGAATCTTATTTTTTGTTTGTTTTTGTTAATTTTATTTCCTATTAAATTTGTTTTAACCGTAAAATATTTTATATATATATATATATATATATATATATATATATATATATATATTAAGATGATAACCATTATGATTGATTGATTGATGTAATTGTTGGTGTTTTTTGTGAGTGTTTTATAAATAACAAACAAAAAATTCAATTTTATTTTCAACTAATAAAATAGTGGCTAAAAAATGTTTATATAACACAACTAATAGCAACAACAAAAATCTAATGGTTTTAATGGTTTTTATTTAAAAAAAAATAAAATAATAATAATAATAAAATTTGTTGTTGTTTTGTTTTGTTTTGATAAACAATTTTTTTATATAAAATAAAATCTACTATTTTTTATTATATTTACTACTATTTAGACAACATGTAAAAAAATCTAACTGTCCTCACTTAATGGACATTATATTAGATAGATATAAATATTATATATATATATATTGTATATATATATATACTGTATTAATGGATGTTTATCTCTCTCTCTCTCTCTCTCATCCAAACTATTTATTTATTTTGTGATGACTTTTATATATAAATATATATATATTTGGTATAAATAAAAAACAAATATAAATATGTCTATAAATCACTCGTTTAATGTGTTGACTCATAATTTTTTTTAAGTATTTTGCGATATTATTGTTAGTATTATTAATAAATAAATAAATAAATAATGGCATGTAGTTTTTTTGGCTAACATTTATCATTAAGGGACAAAATAAATTTTTTTATAACATTGTTTTTTATATAAATAAATTTATATATAATATATACTGTATATATAAAGTAATAGTTATTTTTATCTATTTTTTTATTTGATTTAACAGTTTGTTATTTGTCTATCAATTATCAATCAATAATAACGCATACATTTAGTGTATGTATTAATACCTAGAAATTAAATACTTTTTATAAGTTTTATCCTTATTTTTTCGTTATTATTATTATTATTATTACTAATGTATTTTTTAAGCATCATTTAATGCACTTACTAAACAAAATCAATTTCACAATAAATGCATACAAAAAAATATATACAAATCTATAGTTACAGTAATATCAATATTATAATTGCATACCAGAAAAAATGTGTTATATTTTTTTATAAGTTTTTTTTTGTTTGTTTGGGTAAATATGTTATATATATATATTTATATAAAATGTTTGATATATAAAAATAAAATCAATAAACATTTTGTTTTTGTTTAATACATATTTTCGTATATTATATATATATATATATATATTTATTTATTCTAAGTTATAAAAAATATTAATATTAATAATAGAAATTAAATTTTTATTATTAACTTAATTTTATTTTCAACATTTTCACTATTTGTTTCCTCAAAAAAAAAAATGCAAACGTTTATTACATTTTTATTTATTACTGCTATTATATATATATAATATATGTCTCATAATATATAATACTATATATATATATATATATATATATAAAATAATGTATTGTTGTTTATCTGATGTGTGTTTTTTTTGATAAGTTATAAGTATATTATACGAAAATATTTTTTGTATAAAAACATTTTTTTCATATTTATTGAATAAAATAAACATTTTATTGACATATTATTTTCTATTTACTAAAATGTATTAAATAAATATATATATATTTATGATGTATTTCAATGTATAATACAGTATTATTTAAGAAAAAACAATTTTTATATAAAAAATGTTTGCAAACAACAAAATATTGTATTTTCAAACATTTTTAGATAAATTTTAAAACATTATTATTAGTATTAGTATAGCAATTGTTTTTTAAATTGTTATTATTATTATTATTAGGAAAATATAATCTGTTTAAGTTGTTTGCAAAAAAAAAATTGAAACAACAAAATAACTAATAGTTATTATTTGAATAATCTTATGTTGAAATCTATTTTAGTTTTATTATTATTATTTTGTATATAAAAAAGTGTTTTTGTTAAAACATTTTTAAAGTAACTATTATTTTTAGAAAATAATAATTATTATTATCTAGCTAAAATTTGTTATGTTCAAGTGTTTTTATTATATGGTAAATATAATACTGAATTAGTAGTCTTATTATGTCTAAAAACATATTGTTTTTTTATTATTGGTGTTATGTTTTTACGTAATTTTCTATAATTTTAGTGATATTATTATTATTATTATTATTATTTTGCATTAATTTGTGGCATAAAATATTATATACAATATAAGATTAGTGAATATTTAATATCTACATAATAATAATAATAATCATAATAATAAGAGAAACTTTTTTAACAAAATAAAAATAAAAACTTATTATTATTATTATTAATAAAATACTAGGAATATATGTGTACATAAATATTATTTAATAATAACTTCATTTAGTTTTATTTTTAAATATGTTTTTAATATTTATAATAATAATAATAATAGTATTAAAATTATGTTTCTTTAATAATAAGAATTATTTAATATTTTATTATTATTGTTACATAAATATGAATTAATAATTTTATTTTTTATTTAGTTATAATAATAGTATAAATTTACATTATTTTGATTTATAAAATAATTTTTTTTTCTAGTTTCTGAAAACTTTTACCAAATATTTAATGTATTATTTTCAACATTCACACAGAATATTCTGTATTATATTATATTTTATTTAGTTTTTATGCTAAACTATTTTTTTGTTTGTTTTTTTAATTTTTGTCATAACATATGTCTCCTCCATATAAGTTATTTGTTGTGCAATTCAAATAATATTATATATATATATACAGTATATATAATACACTACAGTATTTAATATCATTATTTTTCATATAGTTTCATAATACTGTATATAATTTACTGGTAATAATACTGTGTATATGATATTAAAAAAAAGTTAACTTAATTTTCTATAAAAAATATATATTTATATATATAATATAATTTCCTTTATATACTATATATAATTATAAATAAAATATATTGTATAGCACTACTAATATTATATTTTTTATAGTATTTAATCAAATTTCATATCATTTTATATTATTTAATTTAAAAAAAAAATTTAAAAATTATATTAATATAACATATTAAGAAAAAAATGCAGTATTTTATAGTTTATATTAAATATTTATATAATTAAAATATAATATTAGATTTTATTTTTAATGTGCAATAAATAGATTATTTATTTTATTTTAAAAAAATCTAATGATCTAAATTCAAGGACAAGTTATAGTTATGAAAATAAAATTATTTATTATTTATTTTGTCCTTATCTTTAGTCAATATATTATTAGTGAGTGAGTGGGTGAGTGAGTGAGTGAGTGAGTAAGTTATTAAGTATTAAAGCAAAAGTAAAAGATAAATAAATAAATAAATTGAGATAAAGAGAAACAATTTTTTGTTGTATTTATTAATTTTATAAAATATTAATTTTTTAAAAATGTTTATATTTTACAATATTTAATATTTTACATTATATTAAATTATTAAAGATATTATTATTCAAAGACAATATATTTATTGAAATATTTTTTAATAATAAATTTTTATTACAGAAAGATATCTGAAATATAAATAAATTATATTTATTTTTTTACAAATTTATACAGTATTTATCATTATATTTAATTAATATATTTATTATATATATATATCTAATAAGATATTACATAATAATTATTTTGTCTATATATATAATTAAATTAAATGATCTGTTTATTATATGCATGTATATAATTAAATTATACAATATATATACTGTATACTGTTATATGACTGTTATACTGTATAACTATTATAAATAAATACATACATACATACATACATACATACAGTTTCCCTGAACAAAAAAAAACTAAAAATAGCAATACCAGGGTACATCTAATGGTACAGTTTATATTGCAATACATGTGTACATTATTATTATTATTATTATTATTATTGAAACCATATACTAAACTATTTTTTTATAAAAATATGTAATCCCATTTATCATACTTTATAATATTTTTTGTTAAAATAAAAATATAATTAGTAGTTTTTGAAATAAGTGGTGTATTTTAAAAAATAACTTTATAATGATTTAATTTTGTAATCATCTATAGTATATAATACTGTAAAAAAGCAATAATTTTTAAATACTATTAATGTATTTTATTGTGTGTTTAAATTTAATGTATTTTTTTAATCTCATCTCTCTCTCTCTCTCTCTCTCTCTCTCTCTCTCTCTCTCTCTCTCTCTCTCTCTCTCTCTCTCTAACTCACATCCCTATCCTTTAAATCTATACCATACATAACCCCCCTCCCCATTACCTAACCAAATACCTACCTAAACCTATACACCACACCCTAATACAGCTGGCTTAGTACTCGAGCGCTTCCAGGTTCATGTATTAGCTACCGAAGCCAGCGAACGGGCGTGCCTTAGAGGTCAGCTACAGCTGGTCATCTATACCCGCGGTGTAGGTGTGGCCCGTGTCGGCGACTACGAGTGCTTTATGCTGTGGCCGATAGCCTTTATACGCCAGTATAGGCACGAATCGGTGAAAAATTGCCAGGCTAATAATGCTTATTTAAAAAGTATTAACACTACCACCAGTACTACTAGTACTACTACTACTACTGTCCAATCAGCAGCTACCGGTGCTGCTAATAATAATAATAATAATAATCAAAAATTTTGTGCCATTAATAAATCAATAATTAATAATAATTTTACTAACAATAATAATAATAATAATAATAAAAATAATAAAAGACAAACAGTGGTCACATTGGAAGTGGGCAGGTATGTCATTATAATTGTTTTAATTTATTTTAATAATAATAATAATATGATAGCACTGGTATATAACCTGTACATACCAGTGCAATTACCATGTTATGTGGGTTATTGTGTAATGTGTTAATTGATTTGTTTTATTGTTGTTGTAATATAATAAGCATATATATAATTTTTTTTTTTAAAAATTAGTAAATAGATTGCAATACGATTTTGTAATACAATTTTATTTTATTTTATTTTTTTCACTTTTGCTATTAAATGCATATTTTTCACAAGAATATTGCAAAATAACAATTGAAATAAAATTATTAAAAATAATTTAATTGAAAAACTATTCAAACAATCAAAAAAAGTGAATAATTTATATTATTTTATTATAAATAATATTATAATTATATTTCTTTTGTTAGATTTATTAATACTATTATATTAAAAATCTAAACACATAATTGAAATATTTTTTTTATATAAATAATTTATTGCATATAATGTATGATTTTTATTATTATTATTACATTTTTATAAAGTGATAATTATCTTTTCTTTATCATTGAATTTTATTTTTTACTTTTTTTATTATATTTTTAAAAATCTATGAATACAAGATCATTATTAATGTTATTAATATTATTAATGACGTTTAACATGAAATTATAAAAAATTATTATTTTATATAATTGCAAATTCTAGTGAAAAATATTTATATTTTTTTTAATTTAAATCAGAATATTCTAGTATTTTATATGATTTTAGAGAATAATAATAGCCTTGAATATAAAATAAATATATAAAATAAAATTTAAAAAAAATTGTTAAAAGGAAATTACACTTAAAACGGGTCCAGATACTAGTATAGTCTAGTATATAAAGTCCAAGGTCTTTTTTATATATATATAAGTTATACTGTAATATATATAATCAAGCAACAACAATTATATTTAAATAGTCTAAATAAAACTAGGAGCGCACTAAACAAATACACATACAGTAAATACACATACAATACATACACATATAGTACATACACATAGAGTACATACACATAGAGTACATACACATAGAGTACATACACATAGAGTACATATATATAGTGTACATACACATGGAGTACATACACATAGAGTACTTACACATAGAGTATATACATATAGAGTACATACACATAGAGTACATACACATAGAGTACATACACATAGAGTACATACACATAGAGTACATACACATAGAGTACATACACATAAAGTACATACACATAGAGTACATAAACACACATTACATACATGTATATGAATATATACATGCCATTAAAAATTGAATTAAAATCATTATAGCCCCATAGAAAAATGATAAATACCCGTTAAAATTATAAATATAGTATATTATTATGTCAATGCTAATCACTAAATAAATATATTTAAATATTTATAAAAAAAACATTGCATAGTAACTGCACATATACTGCACTTATTTAACTTTAAATAAATAAATGACAAATTGTCTATTATTATTGAATATTGTATTATAATAATAATTTATCATGATTACTCTAATCTAATTATATATATAGTAAACAATAATATATTATAGTTAGATTTTTATTATCATAATTTATAAGTTAGACACACACACATAATTTTTTTTGACAATAAAAATCATTTTTTAAGTTTTTTTTGTATACACAATAAATATGCTAATTAAAAGAAAGTGCAAATTTAAATGTAAATATTTTCATAGAAATAAAAATTCATTTGTAATTTATAAGACAAAAATTAATTAATTAATTAAATTACTTAAAAAAAAATTGTATAAATTTGTGATAATAATAGTTTAGTGTTTCTTTAAGTGTGTAATCATAATGTGTTTTATACTTAAGATTTTAATTATTTAATAATTTAAAGATTTAATAATAAAAAAATAATCTTAACTATTGTTAACTGTTAACTTCAATATTAAACATAAATTTTTATTTAATGGTTCATAAAATTTTTTAATTTATTTTTTATAATTTATTTATTTATAATTTAAGATAGTTTAGCAAAATGATAATTTATTGTTATAAACAATTTTGACATTTATTACTAAATTATATTTAATTAAAACATTAAATATTTAAAGACAAATATAATATTTTATATAATAATATATTATTTTTTTAAATAAATATTTATTTTCTAAATTTTATATAGTTTTATTTTATTAAACTTATTATATTATATTAGTAAAGTAATTATTAATTTTTATTTTTGAATATATTTATTTATTTTTTTGTGGTATTTGCTTAATATAAAGTATAATAAAATACATATATCAACAATAAAATAACAATAAAATAAATAAATAACTAGGAAGTGAAAGTTTTACACCTCCAGGGGCTATAGATTTTTATATTAAAATTTTATTTTTGTTGTTTTATTAGCAAATAAACAAATTGAAATTTGCATATTTAATATAAAGTTATATATCTAAATAGTATTATATTATTTCATAAATATATGTTAGCAAACAAAACAAAACAAACAAACAAATCAATTAATAATTTTATTAAATAATTAATTTTTTAAAAATTAAATAAATAAATAATTTTTATTATATTAATTAAAAAATTGAATATTATATATTATTATATATTTTATTTCATGGACTGACCTATTTTTTTGCGGGGGTGGGTGTCTCAGGCGGTGCTCTACTGGTGAGGGAGTATTTTCGTTTCGTACGGCCAATGGTCACGAAATTATGCGCCAATTGAAACGGGCGATAACCAATTGGGCACAATATAAGGCCAATTGTCGTACTAATATCGGCACTGGCCAACTATCGACATCGGCAGCCAGTGGTGGTGGTGGCAATCGCCAACAGCAGCATCGGTACAGTAGATCGCGTAGTTCGGCTTCGTGTACACCCGAGATGCTGACCATTGGTGGCGGCGGCGTTGGCAACTTGTTTACCGCCAGCACATCCACAATAAACACCAACAACAATACCAGTGCTTGTCTACGGGCGTCGACACCGTCGCCGCGCAAGACCTACAAAGTCCGTCGCGGCGATACCGAACCAAACCATTCGGGCGCAGGTATGTCGGGTGCATCGGCTCCACCGGCGGCCAAAATGTCAAAAAACAAGTCCATATCGATCGGCGATGATGTCAATTATGTGATACCTATTTTCGATGACAATGATGAAGACAATGATAGTAGTAATGATGACAACAACGATGGCGGCGATGATAATGATGACGGCGACTACGGTATTGTCTGTCCACTGACCACAAAGTCCAGTGATGGCGGCGGCGGCGGTGGCGGTAACTATATTAATGGTATCTATGGCTCTATTAGTGGTAATACTAGTAGTAGTAATAAATCGTCAAAAACCGGTTATGACTGCCGAAACCAACAACAACAACATCTACAACGCCAGAGCACCGGTAGTCGACGCAAGTCGTCGGCCGACGATTCAATACATAGTAATAATAATAATAATAATAATAATAAGCAAAAAGTTTTTAACAATAAAGTTGGTGGTAGTGGTGGTGGAGGAGGAGGAGTAGGAGGTTGTCATAGGAGTGTCGCCAGTCGTACGGATAGTGGTAACAGTGCTATGAGTGTCGGCAGCAGTATTATTAGCAATGGCGCCGCCGATGACAGTGGCATACATTGCACGGGTAGTGGTTTGACCAGTGCTGGCGGCGGCAGTGGCGGTGGCGGTGATCCAAGTGATGGTAATCCCTATCTAGAGTTGATTGCCGCTTGAATTAAATAAAAAAATGTTTGTTTCATATATTATTTATATATTATTTTTTTTATTATTGTTATTAAATATTTATTAATTTATTTTAATTAATTTGTTTTAAGTGTTTCCTTAAACATTTGTAAATATTTTTTTTTAAATAATTGTTAATTTTATTTGTTATTTATTATCTAAATTTATAGATACAAATTTTTTTTATCAGTATTATTTTTTTTAACTAATAATTATATAATTTTTGTATATTGTTTTAATTGTTTTATTATTATATTAATAATTTTTTATCTAAAAAAAATTAAATATAGTTTTTTTCTAATATTATGTGTGAATTTCTCTAAACAATGTATAAGAGAAAATAAAAAATACAAATATATGTAAAATATTTTTAATATTTTTTTTTGCCAATTATTGTACAAACAAATACATATTATATGAAAAACAAATGTTACAAAAAAAATATTCTCTAAAAAATATATCAATAGTTTTTGAAAAATAATAATATACAGTATAAATACAAATAACAAAAAATATTATTATTATTAATAAATAGTTAACATAACAAAAACATTTTTATTTTAAATATTTTCAAAAAAATCTATATATTTATATACATATTGTATATATATATATATGTGTGTGTTTGTATTTAATTTATATTAAAATTTTTAAAATATATGCTTTTAGTTTTAAATACAGTATATGTATTGATAACGATAAAATTAAAAATAATCAAACATAAATTTTAATTAAGTTATTATATCAAAGAAAAATTGATAAATTAATATATTTTTTAATTATAAATTTTTTTTAAGTAACAATAAGTTTGTAATAATTTTTGTATTATAATACTGTAATATTTATACTAAATTAAAAATTAATGAATATTTATTTTGAACATTGAAACAAAATTGAAACAAATTTTAAACAAAAAATTAAAAACAATATCATTATAATAATTGTGAACAAATATATTTTAAAACATAATATTTTTACAAATTAATACAAATACATATATATTTATATATACTATAAAAGTAAAATTTTTATTAATTAACAAATACATAAAAATACATACAAATATATTTTTAAGTTTACTATTTTAAATAAAAAAAAATATTAATATTAATAAACTCAAAAAAATGTAGATTAACTTTATTAACATTTATTTTGTTTAAAAACAAAAATAAATATTATATTAAACTCATATTATTATTGATATTTCTTTAATTTAAATAAAATATTAATTTTTTTGATATATTAATAAAATGTCATTCATTATCTAATTATTTATTTAATTATTTTATTTTTTTTATGTCGCAATTATGTTTGACAACTTAATTAACTAATTAGTATAAAATATAATAATATATTAAATAAAATAATAATAAGTATATAAAATATATACGTAATTAATTAAAAACAATTAATAAAAATTCAGTTAACATTTAATTTATTAAATATTTTCTTTTTATAAATAACTTATTTTTTTGAATATTTCATATGAAAATTTTTTCGTTTAATTAATTTATAATTAATAAAAAAAAAATATTTTATTTTAAATCTAATAAATTCATAATTACTAATTAAAGCCATAAATAATAATAAGAAAAATATGCAATAATTTATAATAATTTTTTTAAAAAAAATAATACTACTAAAACTGTGATATCACTAGTAAAATAATAATAATAATAATATAAAAATTTTATTATTATTATTATTATTTTTATTGAGATAAACTTATGTTTAGTGTTAAATAAATCAATATTATTTTTAATAAATACTGTACTAATATTAATAGTAATCGTAATAAATTGATGACAAATTTTATGGATTATTTTATGGAGGGGAAGGGATTAAATATGACATATATATATATATTATATATATATATATATATATATATATATATATATATATAGTACTGTATATATCGATATAATTAATAATAATAATCATAATAATAATAAATGTCAAGTACTTTACTACTAATATCTGGTCTAATAATTGGTTTGTTAGGGTCTACTCTTAATTGAGTCCTAAACGTGGGTATAACTTAAATAAATAAATAAATAAAATTTGATATATATATATTATAATTTATGAATTAGGTTCAAGGTCTATAATATTTATTATTATTTTGTTTTTTTCTGTATATTACAATTAAGATAACATGTGATTTGTTAGTACATTAATAATTTATTGTCAATATATATATAATATTAAATTACATTTTATTATTATTATTATTATACTCTAATGTATTACTAATTTAATACCTTAATAATTATCTGTTAGCTAATAATATAATGTTTATTATAAATATTTTTTTAATATTAAACAAACAAACAAAAATGTGTTATAAATACAGTCACTCAGATTACATCATGTTTTCATAGTTTATAATATTTTTTAAAAATAATGTATAAATATTTTATTATTAGTATTATTATTATACATGAATAGATGTATTAAATATAACTAAAATAAATAAATAATTTTTAAAAGCATATTTTCAATAATAAATAAATAATATTACATAAAATAAATAAATGTCAAATAATAATAAAAATTTGATGTTCATAATGAAAATATTTTTCATTTATTGATACTTTATTATTATTAGAAAATAGTTTTATATAAAGATTATAGATTTAAAATTTTTTTTTCATTTAATATTAATAAATATTGAAGTTATTGATCACCGAAAAATATATATCATTTTTATCTTATATTGTTGACCAGTATATATAKATATATATATATAWAGAGAGAGAGAGAGAGAGAGAGAGAGAGAGAGAAATATAGAGAGAGAGAGAGAGAGAGAGAGAGAGAGAAAATAAGAGAGAGAGAGAGAGAGAGAGAGAGAGAGAGAGAGAGAGAGAGAGAGAGAGAGATGCAATACTATTACTAATAAAACATTTATGTTAATAACAAACTAGAAAAAATAACCTAAATTCATATGAGATGAAAAAAATTTGCCGATAACCTTGAGATTCTCAATACATTTATATATATATATATATATTGTAGACTTACTTTACAAAACACTAGTGTATTAAATATATCATACAGATATAAATTTATTAATATAAATCGGCAAATATTATGTGTGTGAGTGTGTGTGTGTGTGTGTGTGTGTGTGTCTAACTGTAAAAATGTTGTGGGAGTAAATCGAGTTAGTTGAGTGAGTGAGTGAGTGAGTGAGTGAGTGAGTGAGTGAGTGAGTGAGTGAGTGAGTGAGTGAGTGAGTGAGTGAGTGAGTGAGTGAGTGAGTGAGTGAGTGAGTGAGTGAGTGAGTGAGTGAGTGAGTGAGTGAGTGAGTGAGTGAGTGAGTGAGTGAGTGAGTGAGTGAGTGAGTGAGTGAGTGAGTGAGTGAGTGAGTGAGTGAGTGAGTGAGTGAGTGAGTGAGTGAGTGAGTGAGTGAGTGAGTGAGTGAGTGAGTGAGTGAGTGAGTGAGTGAGTGAGTGAGTGAGTGAGTGAGTGAGTGATATATATATACTATATATATATATATATGTATAGAGAGAGTAGAGATGGGCAAATAGAAAGTTTCTAATAAATTTCCGTGAGAAAGTTTCTAGAAAATTTCTCATGAATAAATTTCTATAGAAATTTAACTTTATTGTTGTACTATGGGATCCCCATATCTATAGTTATTGGAAATACTATAAATATATTAATGAGACATAATATTGTACAAATGGGATACCTATATAAATAAGTATAATTATCTAATAATAATCAGTTTTGTAAAATTTTATTCATCATTTTACTGTATTATATTATAGACTATAATATAATAAAATGATGAATAAAATTTTACAAAACTATAATTTATAGTTAAATATAATTAAATAAATTAATTTTTACTTTAATTAATAATTTAAATACTAATAATAATATTTAATTATTACTTGTAATAAGAATGTTACAAGATAAAAAATATTGAAATAACAAAATTAACCATGGGGATCCCATAGATAGAAATTTCTTTTAGAAACTTTCTAGAAATTTCTCTATTATTTTATAAATTTCTCTTTTTTGCCAACACTAAGAGAGAGACAGAGAGAGACAGAGAGAGATAGAGAGAGACAGAGAGAGACAGAGAGAGACAGAGAGAGACAGAGAGAGAGAGAGAGAGAGTTATAATGAAAAATATATATTAATATGAAAACAGATTTATATTCAGATTTTATTTATTATTTTTTTATTTTTTTTTGATTGCTGACAAAATAATTGTTTGTCTCAATTAAATTGATTTTTATTTATTTATCACACACACACACACACACTTATGTAAACTAAATGTACTGTTTGTAGTAAATAAAATATAATTATTTATTTATTTTTTGTTAAAAGACAATAAACGCTAAAAGACTATTGTCTCTCATATAAAACAAAATCAATAATAAAAATAAAAGTTTTAAAAAATTATATATTCTTCAAGCGTATAGATGGGTAACCACCGACTCTACAATATATTATATAATAGTTGGTTATATTAGGAAAAAAATTATGTGTTAGTAAAACATATGGTATATATGTGTTTGAGGAATGTTGGGGAGGGTTAGAGGACTGGTAGTTTTTTTGAGTGTCTAATTTTTTTTATTACAAAATTATTATTATTATCATTAATAATCAATAAGTGCTTATTAATAATTTGGATTATTTAAAACAAAAAAACTTGTTATTTTTTTGAAATTTAAAATAAAATGTGATTTTTTTGCAATCAAATATATAACTTTTTATTATATGATATATATCAAATTGACAAATACATTAAAATCTACACTAACAGTATCATTAATCTTACTTATTTGATAATAAAAAAAAAATCAATAAAATTGTTAAATAAAAATTTATTTATTTTTTCTTTCAATAAACTATGGATTTTTTTTTTGATTATGTTTAATGTAAAATTATGTTTAAATAAATTGATATCTAAGCTTATACTAAATATCTATATATATATAATGTTTTAAAAATTGACATGAATAATAAATTTTATTTATTTATTTAAAAAATACATGTATTTTTTTGTTGTTGAAATTACATAAAAACAATTGATTTATGTGTGTTTCAATAAATTTTATGTTCAAAAATAGTAGTATTATTATGTGTTATAACAAATAAATTTTTATTTATAAACCTTATGTATGTATATTTATCTCATATATATATATATATATATATATATATATATATATCTATATAATATTCAATATATTGCATTATATCAGTACACTGATATATGTTTTGCATACTATGCAAATATTTAATATTTTTTATTAATACTGATTAGGCTTTAAAAATATATTAAATACTGATAATGTAATTTTGCACTTAAAAAAATACTGTTAACTAATACTATAGGTTTACGGCTTTTTATTTACTAATACTTTTACATAGAAATACATATTATTAATACTATTTTTTGTTACATATTTTTAAAATACTAATTGTTTTTAATACTATTGTTTTAAGTGTAATACTGTTTTAATAATAATATTGTTAAGTAGTAGTGACTAGTGTAGTGCAAAAACTGACTTTAATTGTAATACTGTATATCAATTAAATGATACTATTAATACTGATTGTTAATACATTGTAAACAATACTAAAAGGTAAATACTATTTTGTAATACTGTTTATAATTATAATTATTATCTATTATAGTTATTATTATTATTATTGTTATTATTATTGTTATGTTGTTGTATAATTACTGTCAGGCAATGATGTATATGTATTGTGGCGCCGGTACTGCCATCTATCGATGGGTATCGACACCACATACAATAGAGTTGTAAACGGGATTACTGTTTTAGTCCCAACGGGACAAACCAGGAGTCACGTGATTAAAAAGTTAAACTTATATTATTAAGGGATAATTACCCGAGTAAACCCGGGAATTATCCCGTCTAAAATTGTTACACTATTATAAGTAGGGTTGTAGTCAAACGGGAATATTAGGGAATATTAGTGGGAATATTAAGTAGTTAAATGTAATGTCTTTGTTATTAATGGGAATTTATATAGTAATGTCTAAGTGAGGGGAACTTATATATTGTAGAGTAAGGCTTGTGTGCACACGACACTCATTGGTGTCGTCTGCAAACAATAAGACCTATTGATTCAAAAGCATATAAATACTGAGGTACTTCTCATTGAAGAGTCACTCAAGTGTTGAGCTAAGACTTAAACTGGTCAGCTCAAGAGCTATAGAGTTTAGACTTTAAACAGTTAACTCTAACAGTAGCTAAAGCTCTGCCTGGACTGGCAGGCCTTTGCTATGCATAAACTTGCATAGCATTGGTCAGCAGTTCCGGGCAGTGCAGGGTTGTTATATTGTAATGTACTGATGTATACTTTTATTTTAATCAATTATTAATAAACAATACTTTTACTTATTATAATGTGAGTACCATTATTCGGATTACTTCATTGTGTTAACTGTGATATTAAGGATTACTAAGACTTTCAACAAGCGATCATTGGCGAGATCTATCAGCGGACGGATCTCGGGTTGTGTGTGTCTACTATGGTCCGGGACTAACAGCGCATATAGTGGACAGAAAAAACGGCAACACAACACATTTGGTGGCAGCGTCGAGGATTAAGGACTCATCTAAAATCGGTAGCAATCGACTTAAACGAGTCGGTGCTCACCTGAAAGAGTGGTAAATTTATTAGTCTGTAAACTTTACAACAACATTGATGAGTAGACTTTTAAACCAAAGTCACTCTTCATAAATAGGACTTAAAGGTCCAAAAATGATCATAGGCCTGTACACACCAAGGGAATGGTTGTACAGTGCTTTTGTCAACAGAGGATGTCGGTTTAAAAGCTGACATTAATCCTCTGCTCTTCTCACCTTACATGGAAGGAATGAGAGCCTTAGCTTAAATTAACTGAGGGGTGCGAATGACATGTAATGATCGCTGTGATTGACTTAAACAAGTCAACACCTAACTGAGTTCTTAAACTGGAACTCAAAACCTTAGTGACTGATAGTGACAATGATAGTGACAATGATAGTGACAATGATAGTGACAATGATAGTGACAATGATAGTGACAATGATAGTGACAATGATAGTGACAATGATAGTGACAATGATAGTGACAATGATAGTGTCAATGATAGTGACAATGATAGTGACAATGATAGTGACAATGATAGTGACAATGATGGTGACAATGGATAATAGATTTTGATTAAGACATGAATTAAAATAGACGACGACGATCAAAACAACTGAGACAGATGAAGACAACAGATGAAGACAACAGATGAAGACAACAGATGAAGACAACAGATGAAGACAACAGATGAAGACAACAGATGAAGACAACAGATGAAGACAACAGATGAAGACAACAGATGAAGACAACAGATGAAGACAACAGATGAAGACAACAGATGAAGACAACAGATGAAGACATCAGATGAAGACAACAGATGAAGACAACAGATGAAGACAACAGATGAAGACAACAGATGAAGACAACAGATGAAGACAACAGAAGAAGACAACAAATGAACACAACAGATGATAACGGATGAATACATCAGAGGAAATGGATGTGTGTTTACATCATTTTCTGGAACTAGCATATGAACTATGGCTATATTATTTAGAGACGCGCTTAAGCAATAAAATTATGACGCTTAATAACAAAAATTTTTGTGACGGTGTGTCGATTTAACCGTCGGTAGAAACACTTGAATATCTTCTAACCTGTTAAACTGGATGAATAAGAATATGAATTTGAAATAAAAAAAATGATTGAGACGGACACTACTTGTTCGGTTATTTTTTTTAAACGGAAATGTTTTGTGACCACAAACATTTATCAACAAATAACATAACTATAATAAAACATTAACTCTTATATGGACTCATACGGTAACAATCAACGTACAAATAATGCCAAAAATAGTGGCGGCTTAATAATAATTCAACTAATAATTCAGTAAACCTACCTTATTGTGAACCGTCAACTTCTCGAAATAAAATTCAAATCGTTCCGTATATCATCACTGATAGCGGAAACACTGCTGTTTCAAATAATATTGAGATAAATAAAATAAGCTATAGTAATGAAAATGATTACAAAGTAAAAAGACGACTATACTTCAAATGCGGATGACGAAAATGATACTACAAATGCAGATGATGTAATAGAATTCGAAGAGAATACGGAAGTAATGGAAACAGGAGTTGCAGATAAAACCAAATCAGAGAACATTGGATTCGTAAATAACCCGGATGTAATGGAAGTGCCAAATGAATGGCACGTAATAAATCAAACATTATGGACAATTAACCGACGATATATTTATTGGACAAAAGAGTGAATTTAATTTCAGTGGACCATTTGGTTCTACATTTAACCCATATAACAGATTCAGATGATCAGTTAGTGCATTCAATACTAGATAGCGAAAGCTTTTTATTGGACTCAGCTATGGACAAATAGCAGCATTTGCTAACAAATCACAAAGACCTATAAACTACAAATTGCAACAGAAAATAACTCACTAAAAACTGTTTAAAATTTATCGAATTATAAGAAGCTACTGTTAACACAATTGTTTATTACAAGAAATTAAATAGACAGCAAATCTACACTCACACATACACAGCTGAAAAAATTATTACAATTTTTTTATGAATGCTATAGAAAATAAAATTTCACATAATTTTACGAACTAATATTTATGACAACAATTTAATGAATGTACAGGTATCGGATGAGATTCCGAAAGAATCGCATTTGATGTATTGTCAAAACAACACAGCAAGTAATGGAAAATCAATATTTGACCAATTGAGACCAATATTATTATTAAAAGCAGAATATAAGAAAGTGTTACGTATTAAAGTGTACGATATAGAAATTACTGGTGATGTCTTCAAACAAACAGAAAAAGCATATGTATTTGTCTGCATATATTGTATATGTATGATATAACATAAACACAGAACACAAAATGTTACAACGGATTATATGAGAACTGTATCTATTATAAAAGTTCTCCAACTACTTGAAGTAATATTCGAATCTATCGAAATAACTCCTTAAATGTATTGGACTTACACTGTAGCACGCACACAATAGCGGCTAATCATTGTTATAAAGAACATCAATAAAAATTAATAAATTATCAATAATTATTTGATTGGTGAAGATATTTTTTTTAATTTTCAACTTAGAAAAAAAGCAATAACAATAAATGTTTTATGCAAACTATTAAATTTACTAATATCTATCAACATATCGTTCACTAATTAAATACTGGTTGAAATTTCTTATTTAAAACTAATAATAATATGCAATATCTAAAAACGTTAATAGTGATAGTTCGGTACATCATGAGATTGAAATCAAAAGTAGTTGGTGATGAAAATTAAAGAAACTGATTATTAAACTGGGAAAATGAAAATCAACAAATGAATTATTATCGATAAAATTTATGGAAATAGAAATAAAAGGAAATAATAGATGATAATCAATGACAGATCTTTATTGATAAAGAGTTCATAAGTATACGATCAAAATTAGTGACAATAGTGGTAAAAGAGATAAAAGATAAAATTTGACAAAATAATAATAGACAAGAAAAAAATATATAGTCAATTTAATAAACAAATATTAAAACATAAGGCGTTAATGATAACATTTGATTAAAGAGAGACAATTGAAAAGATTTTGAAGAGAAATTTATAATGTCGTCGATATAAGGTTAAGGTCGTCGATTTATAATGGTTAAAATACAATAATTAATTTATTCCATTAAAAAAAGAAATCAATCATAATTACTGTTATAACAAAAACAGCTAAAAGTAATCAAATAGACAATAAATGGACATATTAAATGATAAATTGACAAATGACAAGAAACAAGAAAATTAATGGCCAATGGAAATGTAATGTTAATAAAGACAATTTAATTGAAAACTATGGTCGAAAGGCGTTATTAATAAGGTGTTAATCAAGTGATATTAACTGGAAAAAAGTGATTAAAAAAAGTAAACAACCGGTCGACATATAGAAAAGATACACTAGTGGTCAAAAGATAAAACAGAAGATAAAAAACACGTCTGATCGACTGACAATAGATTGAAAATTGACATATGTAATCTATGTTCAAAATTAAATAGAGACTTACAATTATTGAAATAATATTGAAAAATGTAATATTACTGAAGTGAATGGAAGTAAATGAAAGTAAAAGAAATCAGAAAGTCAATGGATAAATATAATTTACTAAAGTCGTCGACAATTAAAAATATGTCAAGAGATCATCGGAAAAAGTAATTACTGGACTGATCAATAGAAAATTGGAAAAAATTAATTCATTAAAATTAAAAAGTGACGAAAAAGTCAAAAAGAAATGGACAAAACTGGATACAGAATATAGAGGTTTTCAGTAATGATTAACTGATATGAAATATCAACAGAAAGATTAGAACCAATGACGTCAATGGGAACTACTGTCGAAAGGTGTTGTAAAATAGTCAACAATAAACAATTAAAAAAAAGACTGAGGGAAATGTAGCAGTCATTATGTATAGTGATGTTCTAGAATCAATGAATAAAAAAATAGACAAAGAAATCAAATAAAATTAACTGTGGAAAAACTAAAATAATTATCAGACACAACGGATGATAGAAAATAGTCAACGAAAAATTCAATAAACTAAAATAATAATGTAGTAAATAAATTAATAAATTACAAAATAGTTACAAAATACTAGAATATACACAATCATTAGTATTAAAATTGGACAATAGAGAGATAAATAATTTACAGTTTGTAAATTCACAGACATCACAGATGTACACAAGTATAGTCGACAGCAGTCAGTAGATAAGTGATAGAAGATAAAAACACATGTTGATAATTTTCAAGAAAATAATCGATTAAAAGGAAAATTAAATAAGATACTCCGCATCTGGAGGGATAAATATTGCAATATAAAGATAGCTGATTGGACCACTTGAAGAAATAAATTAAAATAAAGGATGGATTTCTAAAAACGATTAATTAAATTTCACTGAAAAATGTTCAGATACTTTGAACTACATAATAAAGAGTGATGTATGTATATGGTTGATGGCATCAGCTGAGTAATTGGTACCAATGGAGATTATGGATTAATCTCAAGGAAATGTTGTGAATGGAGTCAAAGCAAATTACGTCATTGTACGTCAAGTTTATATTGTGTCTTTTAAGTTAATTAAAATTGAATAGCACGATAAACTTATTTTAGTGGCCACTGGTAATGTCGGGGACATTGAGTAAAATCAGGGATAGATTTTACTGAAGCAAGTTCATTGTTATTTGAATGTCGTTGAAAGCAATTATAAAATAATCACACTTAAAACTTATTCAAATTTATTAAATTGGGACCCAAATGAAAACAAAATTATAACCAAATAGACAATTTAAACACAGTAAGCAATTCAAATACTAAATTATGGAAACGACAGTTTAAATAAGAAAAGTTTAAATCATATCGGATGAATGGACTTGGGATTTGGAAGAAAAAGTCATGGACTTTAAATTGCTTTGAGCTCAACAAAAACTAAATAGACTCCATTACACTTAAGATATAGACGGTTTGATTGACTTCCGTCTGGGATAAGGCCTTCTGTATGTTTCGTTATCGTGTTAACGAATCACGTTATACAGGTTATGCTCATGTATGGGCATGTGTTTGCGCAAACGGTTGAAAAGGGCTCGTAGTTTCAATAGACAGAACTGATCACTCTTGTTATTGAAACCATATTTACAAATAGAAAAATTTACAAAAATTAAAATGAAAATATTAAATAAAAGCTTGCATAGAGAATACAATTGAAAACTAAAAGAGAAGTTACTGTATTGAGCCGTACAGGGATGTCAGGATAGACATTGAAAGGTTAAAAAGAGAGAATAGTCGACATTCTTGATGTTAATGAAAATGTAAATAAAAAGAAAGATGTCGTTGACTAAATGTAAAAGTAAAAAAGAATAATGAAATGATATAACTATTAACGATAATGATAAGGACAAGAAAAGACCATCTAAATGGACGCTATTGGTATACTGGGGGACGTCTTAACATTCAATAACAGGATTGGATTAACGAGAGTCATAAGAAAAGTATAAGATAATGAAAGATATAGTTAATGGAAATCGTAGGAAACGTCAACA